ATTATTTTTTTTCGGATTAAGTTGCTGAACTGAATCTGAATCAGAAGAAATTTTGCTTAAAATAACAACATGTTGTTTGATGTAAAGATAAATATCCTCGTGACTGAAGTTAAATTAATTTCCTACTGAAAAACAAAGAGAAATGATCGAACAGCGCGTAGTGGCAGAATGTTTTTTTTTTTGATACTGAGAATATTGAGAGTATTGACAATTATTGTTTCTGTAATTGGAATTGAATTGATTATCGGCTAAAAGTAAAAAGGAGACGATGGAAGGAGAGAAGAGGGTTTGAAAGAAGCGGTTTATGAAAAAAAAAAAGAAAAAAAAAAACAGTAGGAAAAACGCCGACAAGTGTTTCGCACACGCGTTGTAACAACCGTGTCGTCATCGAGATCCCGGACTCGTTTCAGTCGACGTACGTTACTCGGTTATTTACGATCGGGAAAAAACCGGAATGCATCGTGTCCAATGCGAGCTGCACAAGGACACACGCGTCGATCGTAGAATCGCTACCTGTTAAACTTTCGACTTCCTCCACGACTTTTGTCCCATCGTTAGCGTTAACGATAAGACATATATAATTTTCTAATTTTTCGTTGTTTCGCCAAATTAACCTCTTGCGCTGGAATGATATATTTGGCCTAAAGTTGCAATATTTTCTCAGTTTTAAGTACATTGAAATATAATCCAGGCAAAACAAATAACAAATTTATTACTTCTTAGTAATTTCTATCCAGACGAATTATTGTATACGGTTTGGCCATTCGTTATGGTCCGTGAACCAGTTGCTAGCGCAAAAAACGCCTTGCCGTTGAAAATTTAAAATACCGAACAGAAAATAGAATAAATAAAAAATATAACATACGTATCGTGCAAACGTAGAGTATGAAAAGCAAACTTTGGACTTTGGTTCGTTTTTCTTCCACGTATATATCCGAGAGGAGGTCGAGGCTTCCATTAGAGAATCGATGCGACGTGCGGTATAAAGAACTTGTCGAGAATTATTGTCGCGAGCTTACGTCAGACACAACGGTACAAATTGCTGGAAAGTAGCAAGGTTGCGGCTGTAATTGCGCGATCATTCAGCGTTCACGCTGGCCGAGCGCTCTCATGCGTGTCTCCCAGCTGTAAAACAAGAACCAAAGCAATAAAGTTATTTAATAAACTTTATTTCTGATTGTCTGAGATTTGACAGAACCGCTCGAACAACCGTACGAACTGCGAAGACCTTTCAGAATATTCATATCAACTGAACGATTGCGGTCGACGGTTGTAATTAGCCTTGAAAGTTACAAAACGATCGTTGATGGAACAGTTTTAATTACCAAATTATTCTGCTTTAAATAATCATCTTTATTTTTTAAATAAAAATACTGCAATGATCACCAGATATTTAATTGGCAATTATTTTTAAATTGTGAGAGCAGGTTTGTTTAAAAGGTATCCTTTTAGCTTTTGAATCGAACTCAGCGTATTTAAAGTGACCTACGCTATAGAGAGGCGCCTGTATCTAGGCAGCCACGCTCTTCGCATAATAAGTTGCGTCTCTAACATTCTCAAACGAAAGATTTTCGAGGAAACGTGTTTGTAATGTAAAACGATTTTTTTTCTAGCAACCAGTGTAGTAGCTATTTTTATGAATAATGACAGATAGATGACAGCTTGGCGTTGATGGATAGTTGAAGAGCTTTCCGAAAATTATAATCATAAGACAAAATGGCGAGTGATGTAAATTGTCTCGGAAGTTTAAATTTTAACATTTCAATATTTAATTTCAATGTTAATTTGATAGATTAAATTAAAAAATGATTCAGAAAAATACAAAGAAAGATCTGTTTAGAAAGAGATCTTTTTAGAGAGAGTTCCAAACTGTAAGATACGTGGGGCAAATAGATGCAAGGGGAAGTTGAAAGGAACCGTGCTTCTTTAGGCCACTTTTTATTGGTGCGAACTTACCAGAATACATCGAGTTTTACAGTCAGTTATTCTTTATGAAACGACGCTTCATCGGGCAGTCGTTCGCTTTACTCTCTATACAACGTACATACACAGAATAAACGACATGTATACACGCACGAGTACACACATATACAAGTTAGCGAATGTGCTCGTTAAGCTACGAGATGGTACAGTGCTTCATGCTTGCTTAAATTCCTCCACGAAATTTTCCGTTTCCTTCCGCTTCGTGCCGAAACGGAGCTTGACAAATTGCGTTTACATATAAAAATTTCAACAGACGATACGTCGTGTCTTTCTTTTTGTTTGTTCGTTCGTTCGTTCGTCTGTCTGTCTTTCGGCTTGCACGTTAATTATTTAAATATTCGGGTCACACGATGGTTTACATTTTTACGCGAGGGAATTGACATTTTGCAACAGCTTTTTCCCCACCTGTTTCGGCGTAATTGTTATTAATAATGGATTTTTATGCGACTTCAGGTATCTTATAAAAGTAACTAAAGAAGTAGAATTTAAATAGAGATTTACTTCATCCTCCAGACGTCGTAACATGTACTTTATCTTGGATATCCTCTATACTTTTGCATATTATCTTTAAACTCTGCACATTATGTGTATATATATATATATATATATATATATATACATCATTCCATATATCTTTGCATTATTCAGATTTCTCGGGTTACGCATAAAAATTTGCAGTTTAGTCGTAACAATTTATACGTTAATATCTATTAGTTGTTTGAGAAGTTTCAAAATACAGCTGGATTTCTGTAAAATTTCATCGTCGCGTTATTCATCTGATTTTCGCAACGTACAATACACATTTCCACTTTTATCTTATAATATAATGATCACGTCACGCGTGACCATTTCACAATAATAATTCCGATAAATGTTTTAATTGTTACAGTTATATATATATATCATGAATACATTGCATAATAAAGATTATAGTAGTCGTTACAAGTTTCGTCATCCAAAGACGATATTTTTAATGAAAAATTTGCGGCCCAGAAAAATACTATACATACATATCTCATTTTTTTTCTTTTTTTTTCTGTTTCTGCATACTGAATGGTGCAATAAGAATTAGCGCTTGAATATTTTCGTTGCTTTTCGAGATGTGAAAAAACTATTAGCAAAGGTTATTCAATATAGAAGGAGCTATGATAGTAATAATTTTATGGTAGTAATAATTTTTCTGTGATTGCGGAGATTTCAAAGACACTACATTAATCGATGCAGCTCGATACTCGTCACAAAAAGATATTAATCTACGTATGTTGAAAAATGATCAGTTTAATTTATGTTTTAACTTTAATTTAATTTAAAAGCTACTGAATGAAAAACAATATGAATCGAAAATTTTGCAAAATTAAAGCTGAAATATCTCCTGAATTAATAATTTTTCAACATACAGATTGATATTTCTCGTAGAGAATATCGATTAATGGATTAAAAGAAATCCTGCTAGCTACAAAAAAATTATCACCATCGTATTATAGCTCTTCCTACACTGAACAACTTTTGTTGATAAAATTTTTTTATACCTCCGAAAACAACAGAGACATTCAGGACAGACGTTAATTTTTACTGGACCATCTCGTATGTTTTTTTCGATCTCTATTTCGTCCCTTTCCACGCACACGTATACGCAAGCCTCGCAAAGAGTCGATTAATTATAAATGAAACGTATGCAGCATGTGTCGGGTGTTCAGGTGAAGATGATCCAGTGGCTGTAGTGAAATTATGTAATTTGTGCGATTTGTTCACGTGATCGAGAAACCTTGTTCCTTTTCGTTACGCGACAGTAATGTTTGAGGTTTAAATTGAAAATTACAGAAAATGATACTGGTGGTTCGTTAGGAAATGATTAATTTCGTCCAACGTATTTCAAATTACGCCTTTTAACGCGATACACCTCGTACATCTTTTCATTCACGATCGAGATGAGGAATATTTTTTTCCATCTTCGTCATCTTTCAGGAAAGAGAATTAAGCGATTCAATTACTCTTAAGAAAACAGCGATGAGCTTTACCTTATTTATGTTACACAAAATTTAAATTTCAAATTCAAACAAGATGAAATGCAAATTTTCCCCAAGCGGAACAAAGTTTCTCTCGCCACGCGAATCGAAAGTACCATTATTCGCATTGGTGATAAAGGGAGACCGCGACTTGTGTTGTTCGTACAAAAAGATGCATCTCACCGATAGAAAAAACGGATTTAACGATAGCGGGAGGGATCGACTATTCACGCACTTGAAATATTATTATTCGTGTTTCCTTTCAGCGCGAGGTACAAAAGAACTCTCGTATCTTGAACAACAGCGTATCTTGAAAAAGACAAGTGTATAGGCAGGTACTGTATTATGTTTCAGATTGACTCGATCGACGTCCACTCGATTGGACGATCGTGTCTCTCGAGACTTTTATCTCGGTTTCATTAATCTTCTCTCGTTGCTGAATCGCTCGACGAGTCGCAACGAGAGTACAATGTTTACAATAGAATCCTCGAAAAACAGAAAAATTAAAAAAAAAAAAAAAAAGAAATGAAAGAAAACGGATAACATGTCCGCGACATTTGCGCCCCGAAAGCCCTAGGCTTGTCCCTGCAACAGTGGAATCGAATTTTCGCGATTTTACATAGAAAAAAAATCACATCGAAGAATGTCGTTTCGAAATCGCTAGACAGACTACGTTAGCGCAACAAGTCGGAATTAATCGAATCAACGCAATGGAGAACGAAGAACCAGGAGTTTGAATAAACGAATAGAATCTACCGAGTCGTAAGAACGTATTTATACTCTATTTTCGCGGTCTATTTCGACTATCGTCTACTCAAGAAAGCTGTAAGTGACGTAATTTGAAACGGAGAGATCGGACAGTGTCAAACGTGTCGCGTTGGTTTTCATGATTTTCGATAATTGTCAGCCAGTCTAATATTCAGTTCGTCTGATTTGATGTAACACATATTTGTAAGATAAAAATCGTTACCATAAGATATATAAATATAAAAGAAATTTAGGAATTGCTTATTAAAATATCTATGATGATAGAATGTGCCAAAAAATTTTCCAATCCGAAAGGAAAAATATCAAGAAATAACGTTGAAGGCACAAAACTGCAGCGATGTGCAACGAATTTTTTGAAATTTGAGACAGCGCAACAAGTGAATTTCTACACGCGAAGTCTGTAAAATGTTGATGACCAACGTGACACTTGACACACTAAAATTATAAAAGAATCAAAACGTCCTCGCGGTCTGTACTGCGAAGAAATATGCAAACGAGACACCATTGAATACACGTATTCGACGCTCGATCTATAATACTTTCATGTGTTTCGAGTTTCGATTTCCTCGGACACCGTACCGCGGGAAATCCGTGTAAATTACAATCGTTAATTACACATCTAGCTACGCGCGTTTCGCCGCGCGGAAGAATCGACAGGGGGCCGTTGGATCGACATTGGAGCTTTCGATTTCTTTTCTTCTCGAGAAATGAGATCGCGGCCGTTGTTCCTCTGTGAGTGCTTTCTGGCCTTCTGTCTGCGAAAGATAGTCGCTTGTTTCGTGAAGTCTGTGGAAGAAAGCGGTAATCGGAAGTGACGTTCGGTGCCATTTGACTTAATATTTGCTTCCAGTGGAGTAAGTGTTTGACTTCTCGCGCGAAAAGTCAAATATTAATGCAATAAACGTCTTTTCAGTTGCCGAGTTTCACATCTACTTAAGTTATTGGTCGATGATATATTAATTGTAAAAACAGCAAATAGAGTAAATTACGTGACTGTGAATGTCTTAAATTATTTCTCTGTATGGTTTTAATTGTTTTCCATCTTGTTCGTTAAAAATACTATTTCGTGAGATACATAGGTAAATGATAGGCCTGTTTCATCGTTGTCAAAAAATGTAAATAGTACAGTAGTATAAGTAGTTGGTAAAAAGACGTAGCCTATGAAAGACAGATGAACTTTCGCTCGTTATCTGAAGTAAATTCTACAAAATTTCTTACCGATAGACTGCGGAAATTTATATCTTTACGCGCGTGATGACTGAAAGAGTAGTATTTAGACAGAGATTTGCTTCATCTAAAGGATATAATACAACAACGAGTATTGTACCCTAGATATTTTATACATTTACGCATTTTCGCGTGCCATTTAGATATTTCACAAATACATAAAAATTCGCAGTCTACTTTCAACGACTCTGTAAACTGTGTAATCGATTCGTCTCATTCCTCGAGCCACAGAAAATTCGGAGCGAGTCGATCGAACGGGGCAAAAAAGTGGTCATTTACAATAGTACTGCGTTTTCGAGACAACATGCTGATTACTTATATACTGCGTTTACAACATGGCTAACATTTACGCTATTTATTTATTTATTTATTTTTTTCTTCATTTTCTTCGTAATTTCCCCAGATGAAAAGTATATCCCCTTCCATTGACAAAGATTCCATACCCTTTCGCATTATAGAAGGAAAAGAAAATCTGATAAATTCGGGCGAATTTTGTTCGAGCGAGAATTTCACGATTGCAAATTGGTCCAGTTTTGATCGCGCTGATCGAATTCCATCCGGAGGATCTGAGGAGATTAAATATGCATCGCCTGTGAGCAACACGGTTCAGATATTGATGTATCAACACTCCGGAGAGTTGACTAGTATACCGTTTGAATCAGACTATGAAATTTTCGAACAATCTCGAACGTGAACTTTACAAATGCCTATTGTAGAAATTGGTCGAGCGTTTTGCCAATCGAGTGAAAATGCAACGAGCAAAATTGACAAATTGACAAATTGAAATCTCTCTCCTTCTGACATCGACACTTCCATTAGTGGAGCTTCTTTGTCGAAGCACAAAAACTGCAGTTCGCCTCGCGTTATCGGAAATATCTCTCATCGAGAAACGGCAACTCATAAGGTACCGTCAGATAACAAAAGTTCCATCGAAACGTCTGCGTAATAATTTGCGACCGTCGAAAACAAAAATTCGCTCTCCTCCGCGAAATGAATTTCTTCGTGAATTAAATTTGGAATTTTGCTCGAATTTTCTCAATTCCGTCGATATATCGTGTCGCTTGGTAATCATCGAATTTTTCTTCGAATTTTCAAAATTGTTTCACGATTTAATTTCGACGGGTCGATCTTTTTTTTTCTTGTTTTCTTTTCTTTTCAAACGAAGGAATCCCAAATGAAAATTCACGAAGATCCGATCTACACGTTACATATATACCCTTGACTACGAGCTTCGAAATATTGGCTGGCTTTAGAAAAATTGTCAAAGGACGAGCGGTCGTTTTAGCTGATTCACGGTTCTCGTTGGTCCATCAGGGAACAATGAGAGCCCGGCTTGTGCGCAATCATGTGAACTTTCGCTTGGCCCGCGGAAGCACGGCAAAGACCGTGTCGGGGCTTGTTTCCGCCGCCTTAGAACAGCACGCAAGCGGAACCTTGCATCACCTCGGAAATGAACATCGGCGTGCCGGCGCCGAGTCCGCCGTCAGTCTTCTGGTTCTCGTTCTTGTCGTACTCGCAGTCGAAGTAACAGCTCTGTGAACAGAATTCATTCGGATTTTCACGATTCCACACTACTGAAATACTACACCATACCGAAATGCACGAATTAACGATCAGTATTTAATCTGTTTGATAGTCAAACGACCTACGATAGTAGTGAAAAATCAATTCTGTAACTGTAAGAAATCACATTTTGTCAACAAGCGTTCGCGATATATATATATATATATATATTTGCGGTTACGAAATTTTTAATTTGTAAAAAATGTTTTGAGAAATTAAAAAAATTCTGAACACTGCTACGTTTTTTGAGATGTCTATGGTCAAGAAGTTTTGATTTATTCAAATATATAGGCATAAAATATATGCTTCTTATACTTCTTCCTCTCACGATAGGTATTTCTTGATACAAAATACGATAATAATAATAATAATAATCGAAGTGTATAATATATAATTAATAGAATAATAAGTATAGATTATATAATATAGTATAATATAGTATAATATAGTATAATATAGTATAATATAGTATAGTATAGTATAAGTATATATTATATAATATAGTATAGAATATTATAGAATATAACATAATATAAATAGAATATAAATAGAATATTAACATAATATAAATATAATATAAATATTATAGAATATAACATAATATAGTATATAATATATATAAATAATACAACAATAAGTCTCAAAGAAACTCTCGATTATAAATTCGAGGGTGATGCGAAAGAATCGCCTTTAGTACGTTTGATCTTCCGGTGTAATTTTACGCAGGAAGTTGCCTTCTTCGCGGAAACGGGGGCAACGCAAGAATTGAGACATAAAAGTTGAAGGACGGCGGCGAGCCGTGTACACAGGCCGTTTTGAAAAAGCAGCAAAGTGTCGGCCGGAACGTTGAAAACGGGGGTTGAGGTGTATTCAATATCGCAGCCGAGTGTGAGGGAGTGAAAAGCGAGCTTACCTGACAGTCCAAGCATCTGCAGTGGTCGCTCATCTTGCAAGTGATGCCACACTGTTTCGCCACCGCTCTGTACAACTCTTTGCTCGACTTGTGAAGGATCTTGGGCGCTTTTGTTCTATTATCTTCGCCAGACGCGTCGTTCCCGGTGTTCTTTCCACCCTCGTACTTCTGCGCCTCGGCTGCGTGCTCCAGCCGCGTCTAAAATCACATCGCCGCGATAAGAAGAAGAAGAAGAAGAAGAAAAAAGGATGTGTATCGTTTCTCAAAGCTCAAGATCTCGTTTTAACACCTAAACAGATAAATGAGAAAAATCCCGCGTCTTCCGAAAATTACTTTCCCCCAACGGGGAATAGCTTTTAGATAGACCGACACGAGAAACGTTCAACGACGTTTATACATGCACGTGTATATATATGTATGTACGCTGAATGAAATTTTCATCGTTCTGTAAACGTGGAAAAATTGAGAATCAAGCATTTCCATTTTAAAGGTTTCCGACAATTGCACGTTTACGGCGGGAGGGGAACGAGGGACAAGTTACGCTCTTTTATTCGGTTAGGTCAACCCCAGATCTTCACCTGCTCGATAACGTGCTCGTAGGAGGGGGGAGGGGAGCTCCGTATGGCTTGTTCGTTCCTCACCATCGGGCTGTTGGAATCGAATATCGGCGATTTTAAATTGGATTCAGTTTCGGTGGTCAATTGCAGTTGACTCATTGGTTGCTGAATGCTCTGCCCCTTCGCGTTATCCTCCTCGTCCTCGCGCGCCTTCTCCTTCCCCCCGTCCTGCTGTTCCGCGTCGCCCTCTTTAACTCCTTCTTTCTCGCGACGCTTGTCCTTCTCCATTTTACTTCCCAGTTCTTTGTCCTTGTCCTTCTCGTCGTTGCACCGCGACTTGGACGTTCTCGAGAATGGAAACTTGAACGGGGCCAGTTTCACCGCTTTCTTCTTCGTTATTCGCCTGGAACGAGAAACGGGTTCGTTAGAAAATTGCGGACTGAAAAGTCGAGCGTCGAGGGAGAAACACTGTGCAAATTGAAAAAAAAAAGTGGGAACACTTGTATTCCAATAACACTGTCGTGAATCTTCGATTTTTCCTCGAGCTTTGTAGATCCCTGGAATTTTATATTGACAACGCACGATGAATGGAATCGATGCGGAATTGCAGACGAAATATTGCCTCTGATGGATTGCCACTCTGTGAAATAAAAGAGTTATTAAAAGCGAAAGAATTTTCCCGCGCTGTGGCAGCTTACGAATTTTCAATCGATATATACCTATGCTTTCGAACACGCAATACGAAAAAACTATCAGCCTCAACGCGATCTTCTTTTTTTTTTTTTTCACTTCTCTGCCTTCGAGCTACGCTGCTCGTCATCGTCGCCACTTGCCCACACTTTCGTGGCTCGCGAGGGATTCTCGAGTGATTCTCGTTCACGCTACGGGACACGGATTCATCGAGCACGAGCCGGTGGACACAGCGGCTGAGAGAAAACCAAGTCGTGAAAAAAAAAAAAAAAACAGCGAAACGAGAGGACGAAAACGAGAGAGAAAGAGAGATAGAGGGAAAAAAACAAAACGAAAGCACAGGAAAAACAAGCGTTCTGGAGAGATCGGGGAGCGGGAGAGGGTTGAGGGTGGCGAGAGGTCGGGGGTGTGTCTCGGTGCGAGTGCACCAGCTGCATCTGTCGTTGACCCAGTGGCCGAGTTTGCCGTTTATCGGTCGACCTGGCGCAGTTGCGGCTGACTTTAAAGCCGTCGACTCCTCCGGAGATTTAAGGCCGTCGCCCATCTAACGGCACAGCGTATGAACACCGACGTGTTCAAAGATATCACGTCGAGTTTAAATATAAACGCATTCGCTCATCCATCGCGGCGACACTTCTTTACATCTTCTCGATGGCGTCATGAATGTTTCGTTGACTGGACAATGTATATATATTGTGCGTGTTACCGCTTGCTAGGCTGCAACGAGTGTGCGATGGATGATAAAACGTTAAGAGAATCTTTATCTTCGCATTGATTCTCTTATATCAGAATCACGTTCGCGCTTGTACAATTGTATGAAAACATCGTCGAGCGTATAAATCAAATTCTTGCTTTATCGAATTCAATTTTTAATTATCAATTGAAATAGATTGTTCTACGTTTACATGTGCGTTGGCGAGTGAGAGATGGATCTTTGATTGAATTGCTAAATTTCGTGGAACACTGGTCAACTCTCGAGCTTCGGTCTGAAATGTAGGGTGGTCAGTGAAAGACTGAATGATACGATACAAAAATAACTTTTACAATCACATGTTTCTTAAATTTTTTATTATTTTATTTGGAAATGTAATCAATGGATTTTTTTCTATAACTTGCAAAAGAAGGAGATGAAAAGATTGAAAATGAACAAGTTATGACTTTCTCATACCCTTCGATTTTTCAGTTCGTACGTGTATTGATTGCGTGTTGCTTGTTAAGGGTTGTCACGAGCGTAAGAAAGAGAGTGACAGTGTAGTCGTTTTATACGCGATGGACGATAAAACATTTATCTTGACGTTGTTCTACTTATACGGTCTGCACTTGTACAATTATACAAAACGTATTAACATCGAGCGTATAAATCAAGCTCTTGCTTCAACCAGCTCAGTTCGAATTGAATTTTTAATTAACAGTTGAAATCGATATAGTTCTGTGTTGGAAAGTAAGAGATTTTTTATTGAATTTTAGTATTATACTATGCAATACATTATAACGTATTATGCAATAATATAAAATATTATGCTACATTATAACTTATTGTGCTATATCATACTACATTACGATCGATATTATACCATATTACCACCATACCATTGAGTATTGTAACATATTATATATTTTATTTCGTAGTATACAATTCTATATCATACTACAACATATTTGACGTTCAAAATTCGGTCCAATAATACATTATTCGTACCTGATCCAGAATTTAGGAAATGCTCGCACCAGTGTAATATTTGGGTCCCATTGGACTCATCGACACAGATTTCTCCGACACTGTGGTCATCGACTCATTTGCCCGACAGCGACTTTACAGTTTCTATCGACAATGACATTGACCGACAGCAACATTAGACAATTGCATACCGCCTCAGTTTGCGTTCGACTATGGTCTTTATTGCATCTAGTATACCGAATAGAGTTATAATCATACTTGTTGTTAGTGAAAATAGTTAATTATACAAACATGTCTCGACCATATCCAGAGAATGATAGTTCTGTTATGGCCGAATATATATTATCAACTGAAAATAAAATATAACTAAACCTAACCTAAATCTTGCATTATTAGAAAAACAACGATGAACGAATATCATAATAATATCATCGATCGGTATTAGTGAAAATAGTTAATTGTAAAAATGTCTCGACCATATTCAGAGAATGATGGTTCTGTTATGGCCGAATATATATTATCAACTGAAAATAAAATATAACTAAACCTAACCTAAACCTTGCGTTAACAAGAAAAACAACGATGAACAAATATCATAATAATGTCATCAGTCAGTATTACTGAAAATAGTTAATTGTACAAAAATGTCTCGACCATATTCAGAGAATGATGGTTCTGTTATGGCCGAATATATATTATCAACTGAAAATAAAATATAACTAAACCTAACCTAAACCTTGCGTTAACAAGAAAAACAACGATGAACAAATATCATAATAATGTCATCAGTCAGTATTACTGAAAATAGTTAATTGTACAAAAATGTCTCGACCATGTTCAGAGAATGATGGTTCTGTTATGGCCGAATATATATTATCAACTGAAAATAAAATATAACTAAACCTAACCTAAACCTTGCGTTAACAAGAAAAACAACGATGAACAAATATCATAATAATGTCATCAGTCAGTATTAGTGAAAATAGTTAATTGTAAAAATGTCTCGACCATATTCAGAGAATGATGGTTCTGTTATGGCCGAATATATATTATCAACTGAAAATAAAATATAACTAAACCTAATCTTGCGTTGTCACTAGAAAAACAATAATGAACAAATGTCATGACAACGTCATCGGTCAGTATAATTGTTAATACTGTCGTCGGCAAACACTGTTGTCGGGCAAGTCTAGAGTCGATGAAATATTGTCGGTGAAAAACAGTGTCGATGATTTCATTGTGACCGGTATAATATTGTTGGCCCGATAGCGTCTTGTTAAAAGCGGACGAGGGTCTTCGAGGATCGTTGCCGCGCGTGGCTCTTGCCGAATTCGGCGATCTCCAGCGGGAATTAACGTAACGGGGGATAATCTGCTGGCCGGTGATCGATATCAGAACGATCCAGCCGCTACGTGACCTATCTCGCGATTCGTCCGGCATCTTGATTGTTTCCGGTTACGGGCGTAACTCTGGCTTTATTGGTTTGATACTGCTTCCCCGTGGACACCTTCCACCCGTAGGGTGTAAAATAGGGGAAGAGGGACTGTCGGATTTAGTCGAGTGTATAGGTTTTGGAAACACCGGCGTGATCAATTAGACAGGTCTCTTTCCACAAAATTGCATGGAAGTTTGAGTGGGTGGGCAGGGTTTTACGATCGAAGCTCGTGAAAGAAACGAGGCAGAATTTTGAATCGTTCCGAATTTTTCACGTTTCGCGGGAATTGAGATCGAAGACGTAGTAGCGTTTAAATTGTAATGCAAATTATCTGCGCCTCTCGTTGTAAATAACAGAAATAAAATACCCTTACGCGAAATTGTGAAATCCTTTTTTAAACGTGAAATTATCTTCGCTTGTTTCACTTGTCTTGGTCGAGCAAAATATTCAAAATTATACAAAGTATCCAAGCATAGTGTTATTCGGACTTGTTGCGCATTCGCGAGGAATTTCTGTTACGTTTCGAATACGTATAAAAGAAATCGAAGAGATTTTGTCATCCGAATAAATAATTAGACGCTGTATTATACGTCGTAGTAAATTCTTCGATTTAGCTTTCTCTAAATTAAACAAGCATAACGATAATAATAATTTTTAAATATTATTATAACAATTTTAATCGTAAGAGCGTAACATCTCTGATAACGGCGTAACGATGTTACGTAGAACGTAATCAGCGCATAAAGCCTTCCCAAGCCTCCTGCAGATCAATATTCTACGCGAAAGGTTGGCGCGAGAAGATGCAATTTCCTGCTTTCCTTCAGACGCAACGGAGGATCGTTTCACGCGAAACTCTCTGCTCGTCAACGTCGTCTCTCTTTCCCCAAATGGGAAAATTCTTTTCCCGTCTGTCTTGTCGAGGGTGTTCGATCAACTGAACGGTAGGAAGCGTCAGTCAAACAGTCGGAACGGGTGGTGGCAGCTTTAATTCGACGCGTCACTCGAAATGCTCCGACCGGCACGTTAAAAATGTATCACCTTGGAGGGCTGCTGACGATATGCCGTCTGTCAACGCTTTTCACGCGAATCGTCGAAAAAAAAAAAACAAAGCGCGAGGCTCGCGCGCGCAATTAGGCGGAACGTAATAGGCGAGGTTGACCAAGTCTTTCATTTCAAGCGCGAAGTTTCGAAGTCAACAAGTTGTTGGCGGAGATAATAATTATTATGTATATACTTCGACGAGTCATTTTTGAATTACATCTGCCGCAGAAATGGAAGATTTAGATCGTAGAGTTGGGCTAATCTGTCGGAGGAGTTGAGCAGCGGTTCGTATCGGTTGTAATCGTAGAAACTGGGAGGGGAGTGGTTGAGATTGATTCACAGTCGGGCAAATACCGTGGAACAACAAGTAGATACGACCGCGCGTGTTCAGACAAGCGGAAGGTTGTCGGCAACGGGCAAACGGATAAGAAGGAAGTCACGCGTCGTCGAGTAAATAGAACGTGACCGTTCGTGTGCAGACATGCAGAGTAAAATGTTGCCCATTCTGCCTGAGGGTGATATCGGTGCGTTAACGTTTGTAGATTTGAGTAGACAGTCA